AAAACTAAGTTGTTCGGAAACAAACTTGACTCGACTTGACTCATTTGATATATAAAGTATTGTCCTAATTCAACTGAGATAACATTTCTCTTCTGCATGTTCATAAGCTAATTTAAACTTGAAATAGGCCTTTTTTATTCTCGAAAAATAAGCTAATTTGGTATAAGGGTTTCAAGATGAGTTCGATTAGAGCTCAGCTAGTTTAAATAAATAAACAAACGGGCCCAAACCAAGATCTCATGAGCCACATTCCGGTTCGTTTAACAACTTTATATACATGAATTAAATTAAAAAATAATATAAGAGGTCCAAAATTCAAACAACAAAATATATATAATCCAATCTTAATTATTACACTCCTCTTAGTTATCTCGTTCATAAACTAACACAAGCTTAGAGAGACTATTTTATATATAATATTACTTTTCTCTTTTCCTAAAATTTTAAACCCAAAAGCATATAATTTGGACAGCTCCAATTTTCAAAACACACTTTCTCCACAATACCTAAAAATGAAAAACTAAATTACCTAATAATAATAATAATTATTATTATTCCCCGGATCACTACACCATCACGAGCGAGCGCTCCCTTTCATCCACCACCCGTAGCTCGCGTTGCTCGGTATGAGTCTTGGATTGCGGCGGTGCGCAGATCCATTAATAATAATAATAATAATAATATCATTTACCCTTATAAAGAATATTAATTTAATTACTAATCAACCCCCACTAATTAATTACTTTCTTGGAAAGATTAATTAATTAATTTCAGAATTTAAGACTGACGACGGTGCTCGCGTTGCTCTCCTCGCCGTCCGCCCTCGACCTCCTCTCACCGCCGCTGTCCGCCTTCCAGCTCCCGCCGCTGTCCGACTTCCCGTCCTCAATGCTCTCCGACGGGTCGCCGCCCCGAATATCGGACTCCGGCGATCCGTTCCCCTGAGTCGACGGCGGGTTACCGCCGTACAGATGGATCTGCTGTTGCTGATGGTGGTGGACGCCGCCGTGGGGGTGTATCTGGTAGTTGGTGTTCGCCGGCGGCTGAGAGGCAGCAGCTATCGCGGGGTAGATCCCCTGCGGCGGCGCCGGGGAGCAGAAGGGGGTAGACACGTGGTGGTGCGCTGCGCCGGCGCCGGCGCCGTGCGCGCCGTAAAGAGCGGCGGCGGCCGGGGATCCGCCGTGTGCGGCGGCAGCGGCGTATTCTGGCGGGACCCATATGCCGCCGAGGACAACCACCTGCGGGGCCGCCGTGAGGGAGGCCTGCGGGCTCGGGCTCGGCCTTCTCGTGTGGAGTCTGTATTTCTGAAGACATTAAAAGGGAAATAAATTAATAAATAATATGTATTATTAATAAAATAATTATATTAGAAGAAATATTAAATTTCGTGATGGGCTTAATCATATTTTCCACAAATATCCATAATTTCCAACTTAAATTGTGTTAGATTTAACCGTTAGACATATATATATTTTTACAAATACTCATAATTTCAAACATAAATATAAAAATAACTAAGATAATAATATTTCATATATAATATATATATATTAAAAAGGTATAATATGTGATCCAACAATTTGTCACTATGTTTGAGTCTTAGATTGTGTCCAGGTCACCAGTGTAGTGCCAAAAAACAAGACAAAAAGGTGAATTCTGTCTTCATTTTTTTTTCCCACTATGTGAATGGAAATAATTTTTATTTATTTTTAATTATAAAATGATTGGAGTGTGGGTTTAGAGAGAAATAAATTACCTGCAAATGGCTTTTAACTTCATCATTGGTAAGGCCATCAACTTTCATAAGTTCTCTGATTTGTTTGGGAGTAGCCACTGCAATAAATTCACTCAATTAAATTACACACCACTTTGAAAAAGAACAAACAAAAGTAAAAAACCAAAAAAAATACTAAAAAATAAAAAATGATTGCTATATAAATGACAGTAAAAAACATTACACTTGTTTCAAGGGCCCATATGGCCTTCTAAATGCAACTCTAAATCACCCAATTTTTTACTATTCCATAATTAACGCAAATTTTTTATCATTGGATCATCATACATGGATAGTTACACGAGTTACGAGTATGTGGTCTATTTAAATAAAAATCTAATCTAAATGTGGTCTAAATTCTTACCAAATACCCTAGTAATTAATGTTTTTCTTGAAATTAAAAAAAAGAAATATATATATATATATATATAATTATATATGCATATTTTAAATGAAAGCAACATCCTATTATATTTAAATAAAAATCATTCTTAACAAAACCCTAGTGATTTCTATTTTCAAAAACCAAAAAATACAAAAAAAATAAAATAAATAATAAAAATAAAAATCACACCTAACTCACCTTGTGAACCACCCAACATATGTAGAGCATTCACAAACCGCCGGTGCAAATCCGGCGACCAACACCTCCTCGCCTTCCTCTGAGTCTGATTCGTATTATTAGTGTTGTTATTCACTTGCTCTTTTTCACCGCCACACGGCTTACTATTATTAATATTACCAATTTTACCCTCCTCCATCACCACTTCTTCCTTATGCGACGAGGCCAAGGCTAATTCTGGAAACCCCTTCGTATCGGAAAACGGCGAGAAAGCTCCTCCGTCGTTGACGACCCTCCGCTTGCTGACGTGGCCTAGCTTGATCTCGGTCTCTTGATGACGTGGCGGCGGGGACAGTGGGCCCACATTCGCTCCCTTCTCGTTTTCTTGGTTCCAAAGCTGCGCTGACGTCATCCAGCTGGCTTTGTCATGGTGGTTCTCGGCCGCCTCGCTGTCGGTTTCGGTCGAGTTTGTGTTGTTTTTGAGAGGCATGAATTCTTCTAAAATGGGTTTTGTGGTGGTGATTATTTGGTTGTTTGATCTTTGTATGTGGAGTTGTTGCCTTGATGCCTCCATTGCTGTTTAAATATATATCCCAATTTCATGCATGTATATAATAATAATTAGGATTCTGAATTGCAAAACATAGTCAATATCTTGTACTCAGTGGTGATAATAGTTACGGTAGTTACAAATCTGCAATAGTAGCCAACAATCCTTAAAATTTTGGGGTTATTACCCAAATTCGGCAAAATTTAATTAACTGCTAAATTGCAAAATAAGCCGTCAAATTTGGTCGGATTTGGGTAATAACCTAGAAATTTTAAAAGTTGTTGGCTATTATATTATTGCCAAGGCGTACAAGATACTAGTTATATTTGCAATTAAATAGGGTAGATGCATGAATATTCATAAATAGATATTTACCATTTGTGAGGAGTTGCATGCATAGAGGAAGCTCGCGTTTGAAAGCGTCGATCTTGAGCCTTTCCTCCTCGAGTCGGGCTAAGAAATCCTCGAGCTTTTGGGTTTGCTCAGTCATCTGCTCGTCGCCGAGGGATTTCGGAAGCATGGAGTAGATATGAGATTTGAAGTCGAAGCTTATTTCCGATGGGGTCATTGTCATAATTCCTGAATTATAACATAAGAAACATAAGCAATCTATACGATGTTATATGTGCAAATGTTTGTAGAGGATAATTAGTTAAAGAGTAAATAGGGATTTTTTTTGTTTTTCTTTTTTTTTTTGGTTACTTGTAATTGAGNAAAGAGAGTGAGGGAAAAAAGATGAGGGATGGTAACTTCTTTGCAAGCAAAGTAGAAAAAAAGGTGTTATTTAATGGTATGTCATGGGAGAAGGAATCGCTTGGACTATGAAGAAAATTGAGGAGTCACTATATAGCTAGTGTATATATATTGGGAAATTCAAGAACCTAATTTTTCAATAATATTATATTATGGGCCTTGATAGTGGTAGACATTGTGAAATTAATAAACATTATAACCAAAACTGATTCTTTTGTTTTGTTGGGTTACTATACTATTTTGACCTTTTTCACTCTTTAGCATTACTCCTTTGTCAAAGATTTAGCCCTTTAAATAGAGTTCTCTCTTTAGAATTTTCATAATTATAACATAGCTATTTAATATACATACATATATATATATATATACACATATATGCACACACATACAAAATTTGTAAATATAACTTGCTTACAATATTTTCTTAAAAAAATATCACTAAAAAATGATTATATATAACAAAACAAAATTTTGACGTGTTAAATATTTCAATAAAATTCCAATGAAATTTGAACAGATACCCAATATTAAATCTTTTCATTGGAAATTATGTTGGAAAAGACACGTTTCCAACCGGTAGAATCCGCAGAAGAAACAATTCCAATCTGAAAAGGAAAAGAAAAAAACTATATTCCTTCAAAAATGTATAGTTGATTATCTTTTGCTTAAGATTGATTAATATTCTTCTAATCAACTTTAACACTACGGTCTTAGTACTTGAAAACATGTAAATAAACATCATCTCGAAAGATCCGTAGCTAATATGAAATTGATTCCATCCTGATTATAATATATCATAAAAAAAAAAGGATTTTAAAAGAGCATAATAGCGTTTTTAAAAAAATGCGATAAAGAGACGTGCATGAAATATTCAAAATTAGCTTTCTTTTATGGTTTTTCCAACTTTCAAAAGTTGCATAATTCTTCTATACACATTAAAGTGCATTATTAGGACGAGAAGACGAGAAAGAAGAAAAAAGCGAATATCTGTCACATTTTGTTTAAAAATTAAATGAAAAAAAATTAAAGGAAAGAATAATGTGCAATATAATATCTGCAAGGGAATATCTGAACTCTAATTCTACGACTCTAAATTAAATGCACTCAAATCCACGAAGCTTAAAGGTACAAAGATGTTGTTCTTGTTCTTGTTTAAAGAAAAGAAAGAATAATCAAAGGGGGAAAATGGGAATCTTCTTTTGCTACCAGCTTTACTTAAGTGGGCTTGAAGGCACCAAGATTCTCTATTAATTACAATTTGTACCCTATGGCCAGCTTCTCAACATTAATCCCATACACTGAATTTTCTAGTGAGGTGAAATGTAAATTTTGAGATTATTCCTTTTTTTTTTTTAGTTAAAGTATGACTTAGTTTGTTGGGCATAAGAAAGAAAAAAGGAGGAATAGGAAATAAAATTCAAGCTCTATGTATGGTATAGTTAGTGTGTAATTAAATCGAAGCGATTTGTACTTGATAATATTCAGCTTGTGCGTATTCGATTATGTTCGAATTTTGTTTGTGTTAACTCGTATAGTATTCGAGAGAAAATTTTTGTTTGAATCTGTTTGTTTTAATTGTTCACCGACCTTAGCTTTTTAAAATTATTTGAGTAACTCGATATTAGTTCAACAGCAAGTGTCTGAGATCGAAAATATAAATTTCTAATTTAATAGAAAAAATTTCACTTTAAAATTTATTGTTAAAAACATCATACATATATATAATTATAAAACTATATATTTTAAATTAATGTTCGTAAACATTATCCAACGATCAGGCTTGTGATCCTTTGATTAACAAATGAAAAAAAAAAATCAAAGAAAGAGGAATCAAATTCTTTTGAGAAGGGAAAAGAAAGGGGAGGAAGAATGCAATAAAATGAAATGGTTGGTCACTTTCTATAGTATTAACTTCATCTACAATACTCCAATTCACCCCTTTTCCCTAGATTCTCTCTCTAAATTCTCTCTATTTTTTTTTTTCTTTAAACTTTTTCTTTATATCTGTCTCTCTAAATGTGTGTTTGCTGGCTGAGATTCTCTCTTCTGACACGTGTATCGAAATATATTCTTTCCTATGGAAGAATGTGTGAATATACCTTTTGTTCCCTGCTATTTGAAATATGAGCCACTAAGGTTAGCTGTAGTATATTGTCATGTCTATTTAGCTGAAAATATTATAAATTTAGATGTAGATAATATTTTGTAACAATTTTTTTTTTTTTTTAAGTTATGAATTTATTCACCAAATAGTAAGTAAAATAAATAAATATATAAACTCTTACGAAATACACCCATGATCTATTAATGTGATAGAGCGAGCTGGATGAAATATTGGGAATTTTCATAAACTTTTGTTTTGTAATCTTTATAAAATTATATAATGGATTTAGAGAGAAAAAAAATTAGGTCGTTTCACAGATTTATTATACTTTTTGAATTTTTTTTTCAAAAATACGATATTTAAAATAAAATTATACATAAAGTATTCATAAACGGGTTATACATTAGAAAGAAAAGAAATTTGAAAACCAATAATAAAAATAAACCGCAAATAACAATATACTTATAAATAAATTACACATTATAAAGCAGCTGTTGGAGTTGGACTAACGACCTGAGACAATTGGGCCATCATCACAATTTGCAAATTTCACCTGGGCCCATCATTGCAACTTCCAACTTCATTTGGGCCTACCTCTTTTATCTTTTCTTTTACCCCGAACGGAGGATTGGAGTTCGACTCTATATCAAACAACATCCAAACAAAATCCAAGATACAAAAAAGCATTATTTAACCAACTTCTTGATAAGTTGTTTACAACAAAATCCACTATGTAATGAAAAGACTCCAGAAGTCCATTACGGATAAGTCTATTTCTTAAACGAACTTTTCAATCCATTATTGATAAGTCTATTTTTTAAATGATCTTTTCCAAAAATGCTCCCAAACAAGCACTAATATGGGGGACATGGCCAAGAAGAGGTTAGGATAATGATGTAAAATGCTCGAGAACTAAACGACAAAACCACATTGCCCGTCGTCTCACGATGAAATCACGACAAACCCATTACAGAGAAAGACACCGAAAAAGAAGGAACAAACTCAAGCGAAAAGGCACATTTTCCCCATGTCCGAGTTGCAAGAGAAAAAGAGACACTGAAAGGGAAGGAACAAGCTCAGGCGAAAGAGTGTAAAATGAATTATCCAATCAGTCAAAACCCGGATAATTTCTATATCCAATCCCTACCTAAAGTTACCATCACATAAACTAAGGGAAAAGGAAAAAAAAAAAATGTAAATTAAGAGTCTAGTAGAACATGACATATGAGTTTTTATGTGGGCTTCTCAAATTTCAACTTCCATTCAAGGGTAGCATGAGGAAAGTATGGTATCAATTTTCTCTTTGGCACTTTGATGGGTTTCAGCTGATCAAGAAAACTTAAGCTTGTTTCGAATTCAATTAGGATTCTACATTATAGTACATTGCATTATCCATTGCAGAAAACTAGTCCATTAGACCCGACCAAGTGAAGTTATCTAAGTTCAACAATAGCTAATGATTAAGTCATTATTAAACGAGCCCGAACAAATTTTTCTTACAGAGCTTCCATTTTTCTTCCTCAATTATCTTCAATATCAGGAAAAATACTACACGAGAAAAAGCTATATGCTTCATTTATTCACAAAAGAGCTTCAAAAGTCAGATCATAAGTTTCATCAAATAAGAGACTGAAACGGAAACACCTCTTTTGATCCCCCTAAATCAAAACACCAACATCAAGAACTAAGATACTACACATTTTCCAAAAAGAAAGAAAGAAACTTTATATGACCATTTGGTCTATTTTCAGCAGTATCAAAAAACCCCATGTTGCATAGTTCATAGCGTACCAAAAAACCGACAAATCATTGTGGGAAATAACCCACTTTGCATTCAAGCCTCCATTTGACTTCACATCCACCTCTGCATATCAAATTTGNTAAAAAAAAAAAAAAAAAATATCAGCTGCAACTTAGCGCATTCAAATACACGTACAAATGCAATCATAAAACAACGAATATGCATGAGCACATTCAAATACATGTTTGATGTTAGCTTCTGCAGAAACACTTTTCCTCATCTTAAATCCTTCAAATTCGCCCAAGATCGAAACTTTATCATCCGATAAACAAACTTGGGATCTCACGAAAACACGCAGTATACAAGATAACCAAAGTATTCACACACACACACAAGAAATTTCAACTACAGTAACAAAACAAAGGGATCGAGTAAGAACAAGATCAAGACATACCAGGACATTATAACTCGATACGAATCAGCTGAAACCCCAACCAAATACATTCCGGGAAATACGTTCTGTCAAAAACAATAAAGGATCATCAAAACCCATTAAACACATATCAAACATCACCCTCAATTTCTTAACTTAACTCAAACTAAAACAAAGCAGAACACAAACACATAAAGATTGATTTTTAAGCCCACATACATCTAGCTGTTTCTGAACATTCCTAGGCCATTTCTTCGGCCGCCGGGAAGGCTTGCCGCCGGTAAAAGAGTAAATATCCTCTTCGATTTCCTCCTTCGAAAGAGAAATCCAGATTTTCCTCTTTCCCTCCCTCTCGCCCCCGCCATTGTGCGCCCCTTCCGCCATGCCCCTCAGCCTCTGCGACTTTAGCCCGTTGCAGCTAACAGTGTTCTTCTTATCGTTTTTCTCTGCACAGCTCGTTCCCTTCGCTACCTCCTTCCTCGGCCGCAGGTTCCACGGCTTGGCCTCCTCCTCCTCGTCTTCCTCCTCAACCGCCGCCGCAGCAGGAGCAGCTAGAACGGTGTCCTTTGGGTCCGAATCGTCCGGAGGATTCTTTACAGGGTCGTCGTGGTCGGACTCCGGGTCGGGACACCGGAGGCCGCCTTGATCAGGGGAAACGCAGCGGCGGGGCCGATCGTGGTGGGGGACAGGGCCGGGTGCGGCGGAGGACGATTTCTTGCGGGCCCATCTCAGGTAGGACAGAGGGAAGTTGTGCAATGGCTGCGATTTCACCGGCGGCGCCGCCATCGGAAAACCACCACCTGTAAAAAATAAAAAATAAAATAAAACCAAGTAAACCCCTTTTTTTTCTGGTCTTCTTTTTACCTCCCTCTGCTATCTTCCGGCAAGAATTGGGAAAGAGGTTGAAAAGGTAGTACGGTTGCGAAGGTGAATAAGCAATGAAACAGAGGAGACGAAGTAGAGAAGAAGAAAAGAAAAGATCAGAAATCGGAGGGCACCGCACTGTGTGGTGTGTGTATGTAAATATGCGTTTGTTCAACATGGTATTCGTACTTGGGGCGTGTTTGGCTTTTAGGGAAAACGAAAATTTGATAGTAGGAATTAGAAGTTTAGGGTGAGATTATCTTAGGATATTAAAACAATTTATTTTATAACAAAGGAGGTGGTTTTAAGGGAAAAAATAATATTGTGAATGTGGGATAAAATAATAATAATTAAAATTGATTTTTTAAAAATTCAGCTAGAATCAATGATTTTCGTCATATCAGTTTGTGTACAGTTCTCGGTAAGATAATATTGAAAGCCATTGTTATAAGAGCGTGAAAATGTCTTAAATCTCTTGGTAAGTGCCTTTGTTCCTAACAGACTCATCACTTCACTGATAACGCGATTTTTGGCTTTTAAACCACTTCATTCAGATGTCTAAGAAACATGATGGGAACGCACATAGGATGACACTTAAACTAGATATGAGTAAAACATGTGCTCCGGTAGAGTGGAATTTTGTTAATGCAATGTTGGCTAAATATGTTTTTTCCCCTCTTTTTCGAGTTTTAATTCGAAATTGCATCTCAACAGCCAGATTGTGGGAAAAGTCGAACCTTCTCGCGGTTTACGTCAGGATGTTCTCTATCGCCATACTTGTTTATTCTCTGCGCGGAGTGTCTCTCGGCACTCTGAAAAAAGCAAAAATAACTGAAATTTCGAAACGCTTTAACTGTAACACGAATGGACCACTAATCTCCCATCATCTTTTTGCTGATGACTCCATTGTTTTCTCGAAGGAAAACTCAAATGAGGCAGTTTCAGTTGTCAGCATTCTAAGCCATTACGAATAAGCATCAGGCATACAGAATGACCTAGAGAAAATAATTATTTCTTTCAGCCCCAATACACCTCATGCCCTACTCCAGGTAATATGGTCGATTTCCAGTATTCATTCACCCACGTCTACTGAAATCAATTGGGAGTTACCTTCTACGATTGGCAGAAAAAAAAACGAAGTTTTGCCTTGATTCTCGAAAAAATTTGGCAGCGCCCCCATAACTAGAATCATAATCTTTTTTTCATCAGCGGAGCATGAAATATTCATAAATGTTGTCGTGCAATCTATCCTCATCTACCTTATGAGTCTTTTCATGTTACTTCATGATATCTGTAACCAAATCAAACAAATTGTTGGCTAACTTTGGTGGGGATCTCGTGATGGTGAATGAAAGTTATCTTGGATAAAGTTGAGCAAAATGACAATGACAAAACAAGATCGCGGGCTAGGTTTCAGAGATTTTGAACTACGTAATCAAACAATCTTGCGAAAATAAGCGTGGTAGGTACTTTCATCTCTCGATTCTCTTGTGGCCCGAGCTCTCAAAGCAAAGTATTTTTCCTCTACCCATTTCCTTGAAGTTAGGGCCAGCGCGGGATCTTCTTCCATATGGGAAAGTCTTTGCGGGGATGCGAGGATGTGGGAGCAGGTTTGAGATGGAGAGTGGGTGACAGGGCATTAATCAAAGAATACTCAGATCCTTGAATACCCCCACTTTTGATATTTTCAGCCTTTTTTCTCAACCTTTATTTTGGATTGAACAAGTAAAGGATCTCATTGGGGTAAGCGGAGCTTGGAATGAGAACTTAATTAATAGTATTTTCCTACCCTTGATGCCCAAAAGATTCTGACTATTCCTTTGGGCAATAGCCGCATTTCAGATAGAGTTATATGACACCATTCTAAAAATGGATTGTACACTCTGAAGAGTGTCTACCATTTAAATTTTCATTAGACGAGCCAAGGGTATTGTGTTCTAACTAAAAATTGGTGGTGGAGAGCTTTATGTAAAATTAAGGTCATACCAAAAAATAAAAATATTTTTGCGGAGATTGAGTCACTTGGGTTTCGCTTCTTTTGAAAATCCGACTCAAAAGTTTATCAATGTGGAAGCTAAATGTGCTAGATGTGTAGGGTGGAAATCAAACGTTCACATGTTCTTTGAATACTGATGGGTCAAACGACTGTGGAAAATGGCAGGATGGTCTCTTGCTAGGTTGCCAGGTAAGAGTTTCATTTCGATATTTTGTGAAACTCTGGATGGAGATTGGGGAAAAGAGATGCCAATTTTTACAACTTTTCTTCGCTTATTCGGCACGAAAGGAACCGCATCAAGTACGACATGACAGCGAGGTGCGTGGAACAAATTTGGGCTTTCGGTAACGTATGGTTAGAAAAGACAAATCCCACGCCTTCATCTTTCTCCAAAATTGAATGAAGACTTACCCTGAGACCGATCTTTGGTTGGCTTGGCCAAGCTAAGTGTCGAAATGGGCTTACTATTTTTTGTGATGTTGTACTACGTTGATCGGTATAGGTAATTGGATTTGTGATTCAGATGGTCTGTGTTAGGATCGCTTTTTATTCCCAACCACCAGGACCCTTTACCTTGAAATCAACTGAAGCATTGCCCCTTTTCTTTGGACTTCAATTTGCTTTGGATTCAGGTTTTATGCTCCAAACCGTCGAGACTAATGCCCTTTCTATGATTTTTAGCATCTCATACCAGCATCCTAACGACACATTCCACAATGTTTTTTCTGACATTTGATCTTTTGTTGTCTTTGAATTGTGGAAATTGTTATTATGTTATTCGAGAGAACAATATTATAGCTCATAATATAGCTAAATGGGCTATAAGGTCGACGAGATCCTTCTTCTAGAAGGACTATCTCTAGTCACTTTTTGCTTCCTTCTTTCAATATGTACCGGTTCACAACTTTTGGTTGAATGAAGTCATGTATTCACACAAAAATATAAATAAATAAAAAAAAAAAAAA